ATAATTCATTAAATAGAAAAATCTTGAGAAAATATTAAAAATTGACAAAAATTTGGTGTCTACAGCTTGCCCCTCTTTGTCTAGAGTTTCAAAGAAACTCAAGACAAAGACGTAGACACTAAATTGCTTACCTGTCTCTTTTAACTGCACCTGAGCTAAAATAAACAAGCCAACACTTGGCTGAAATTATTGGACAAAATGATGCAATAACATTGTAGAAAATGTGACCGAACCCATGTAGAGTTGCCTACGTATCCCACCATGGGAATCAGGTCAAACGTAGTTCGAATGCAAGTGAACCACAATGAAACAAGTGCATTGACAAACTGTAGTCTTTGCAAAGTCGAAAAAGTCTGAGTTATCAGAACTTCTAAACATGAAATACAAAATGAATGAGACAACACAATTATTAATCAAAACAGTCAAGAAAAATAACTTCTCATAACTAGAAAAAGATGCGCGGAGGGACGCGATTACGCTCCAACAGAAAATTAAATGTGATTGCTTAGAATGGGGGTAGAAGGGTGCGCGGCGGACGCTGAGACCTCACCAACAAGATATTAAATTTGAGTTTTTTGATTTTTTTTTATTTTTGATTTTTTTTTTTGAAAAAAGATGCGTGGAGGGACGCGGTTACGCTCCAACAGGAAATTAAATTATCAAGAAGGGAGATAGAAGGGTGCGCGGTGGACGCTAATACTCACCAACAGAAAATTAAAGTGTCAAGAACGGGAGATAGATGGGTGCGCGGTGGACGCTGAGACTCACCAACAGAAATTTAAATTGTCAAGAAGGGGGATAGAAGGGTGCGCGGTGGACGCTGAGACTCACCAACAGAAAATTAAATTAAATTTGTCAAGAAAGGGAGGTAGAAGGGTGCGCGGTGGACGCTGAGACTCACCAACAGAAATTTAAATTGTCAAGAAGGGGGATAGAAGGGTGCGCGGTGGACGCTGAGACTCACCAACAGGAAATTAAATTGATGCGCGGAGGGACGCGATTACGCTCCAACAGGAATTTAAATTTGTCAAGAATGGGAGATAGAAGGGTGCGCGGTGGACGCTGAGACTCACCAACAGAAATTTTAAATTGTCATTTAGAAAAAGATGCGCGGAGGGACGCGATTACGCTCCAACAGGAAATTAAATTGTCGAGAAGGGGGATAGAAGGGTGCGCGGTGGACGCTGAGACTCACCAACAGGAATTTAAATTGATGCGCGGAGGGACGCGATTACGCTCCAACAGAAAATTAAATTGATCAAGAATTGGAGATAGAAGGGTGCGCGGTGGACGCTGAGACTCACCAACAGGAATTTAAATTGATGCGCGGAGGGACGCGATTACGCTCCAACAGAAAATTAAATTTGCCAAGAATGGGAGATAGAAGGGTGCGCGGTGGACGCTGAGACTCACCAACAGAAATTTAAATTTGTCAAGAAATAACAGATTGGTGGGATAAAACCCGAATCCAATAAAATAAAATGGTCAGTGGGATAACACCCAAACCTGCCGAATCCCAACATGATATACAAAAGACACGTTAGTGGGTTGAACCCGATGCTAACGGATGTGAAAAAAAACATAACACACCTTAGTGAGTCAATACTCGATGCTAACGGTGATAAAAGACACGTTAGTGGGTTGGACCCGATGCTAACGGATATAAAAAAGCAAAACACACGCTAGTGAGTCAATACTCGATGCTAATGGTGATAAAAGACATGACACACGTTATTGCATGAAAAAGTTCTTGAATACTTACCTGAAAAATCATTTCAGAAATTGACTCAATTTGAATCAATTTTGTTCAACCAATCATCTGCTTTGCATTTTGACATTGTGGCTCAAGTTGGTGGATTTGTAATCTTTTTTTGTTTTTTTGTTTTTTTTGTTTTTTTTTTGTTTTTGAAAAAAAACAAAGGTGACAAATTCTAAAACTTGAAGAATACCAATGACAACTCTCCTTTCAAGAGATTTGAGAGGTACATACATGTGTCACTATCTTTCGACTTTAAAGCCGATTTAAAATGCATTACCAAAATTGGAGCTCATTCCTCTTGATATTTGCCCCAGTGTAAATCATGTTTAATGAAGGCCACATTTTTCATGCTTTCGAAAAAACAAAATGAATGATCATATGATACGAATACCATGTGATTCCTTGTGCTCCTTTTGGCCCTGAGAACTATGCAAGCATGATCTTTCGATGTCAAGACTGCTCCTCAAGAGTTGTGCTGCAACTTATTTTGAATCTTCTCAATTTTCTAGCATCAGTCAGCCATACCTCACTTTGTACCACAAATCAACTTTTCTAATGACCAGATTTGAATGAATGGCCTGTATCTCAAGTGTCGGCAACCCGCTTTTCATTCATGATTCTCTTGTGCTCCAAAATCTCACCTTGATGACCTTAACCTTTTAGATTTTCACAAAGGTCACACCTTTTTATTTTATTTTGTTTTCATTTTCTATTATTTTTCCTTTTTTCTTTTTTTTTCTTTTCATCCTTTTTTTTTCTCTTTTTTTTTTCTTTTCCTTTCTTCCATTCTTTTGAAGACACCCTTTCAGGTTTTCACCTAATGAACAAATCTTTTTAACGACCTTTATCAACTCAGAAATGTATTTAAAGAAAGGATGGCATCAGCGCGACAACCCTTCCCATGTAAAAATGGTGAAGGTATATTGACATCATTTGCCATTTGATTAAGTGATTTTTATTAGAAATACCACTAAGGCGGAGGTCGAGACTTTATGATTTTTATGATGGGGTCATGTGGGGTGTAGAAAAAGTGTTAAGGCTTCAAAGAAAAATTTTCAAAGAGGTTTCAAAAACCCTAAGACCGCATTTTATCAATATTTGTCCCTGTATGAGGGTATTAAGACCGAAAAAATTGCCCCAGTTTGGCTTTTGACTTCTTTTTTCTTTTTCTCTTTTTTTTTCATGACAAATATGAGATAAAATTTTACCCCAGTATGGGGTTTGCAATCTTTAGGAGGGCTATCAAATAAAGGGTTAAATTATTCTGGAGGTTCAATGGGGAAAACTAGGGATAAGATGTTCAAAGAGAAAAGAAGAAGGCTCGCCTTTGATCCGCCATAGATGGTATTTCAAAAAGAAAAAATCACATAATCAGATAAAAAATTTATTACACATGTCTTTGATTGGCAAAGGAAAAACCTGTCCATCCAGTTCTGTAAGAATGGACGTTCCTCCGGATAGCACTCTTTGAACAATAAATGGCCCTTGCCAAGTTGGAGCAAACTTTTCTTTAACCTCCTCTTGAATCGGAAAAATTTACTTCAAAACCTTATCCCTCACTTCAAATAAGCGAGATTTGTCTTTCTAACGAACCATCATTTGATGATAGCATTGTCCATGACAAACATTCAACCTCTTTTTCATCAATTAGAGACAACAACTCATTGTGCTCCTTAATCCATTTGATTTCCTCTACCTAAGCCTTTGTCAAAATGTGCAAGGACGGGATCTCGGTTTTGGCATGTATTACCACTTCCATTTCAGCATAAGAGGACAAGGTGTTGCCCTAACTTAGAAATGTAATCTCCAATGAAACGCTCCCAGAGTTCAATTGCAAAATTTGCAAAATCGAAGGAAAGACCATAGAATTTTCGTAAAATAATATAACGTTAAAACAAAGTTACAAAAGTATTGAAATAAATTTGCAATAATTTAACAATCAAGTCTATACTACTCGCCAAAAGTTATCAAACATGAAACGACATGGTAGAGATTGATAATCTTTTGCACTCTAGCATACATTCTTCTAAAAGCTCTGGGGGTTCTATCTTAAGCCTTTGGTTCAATTCTGAGGTTCTTTAATTTTTTGATTAGTTGTCTTTGTCGTGAAATCTGAAATCCATAGTTGTTTACATATAATATGCCAGGATTTGGTGGCGGGATCTAAAAAAATTCTAGAGTTAAAATGACACTTAGAATTTCTTACGAGTTTGTTCTTATTTTAAAAGAAGGGACATGGAATATTCACGAGACTAGTAGCTAGAATTAATGCATTTAGTTTATGAGCAATATAAAAAAGACATTCGAATTCACTCACAAAACTTTGATTTCACTTGAAAGAGCACACAAAACCATTTACAAATTATTCACAACGGATCCTGCTTCACATGGTGTATTCATACATGAAGTTGACGTTTTCACTTCCTCAAAAGCATGAAAACAAAAAGGCAAAGAAAAATAGCCAACAAAGAAATAAACATGCAAGTGCCTTGTACTCAAGATTCCCACCTAAAATTGGATTAACAAATAAAGAAAAAGATAGATATACAGCCATATTCTAACAAATATCAAGATAGCCAGGGTACTGAGGCTGTTGAATATTTATCCTCATTACTGTCCAAGGATGGCAGATCTAAACTGACTGAAATGCTGGAAATTCTTGTGGATAATGACTAGGAAGACTGCAAGATTGTATTGCTGAAATCGGCTAACTTCAAATGATTGTAAAGTTATACAGACAATATAAGAGTTTGTAAGCTTGATGACTGACTAGATAGATTCTATAATATATAGACTTTGATGAACTTTGGGCAAACAAGAAAACTATCCAATCATACTGACTAGAAAGATTCTATAATATGTAGATCATTTGCCAAAACCTATATTGGTGCATTGCTGTTACATAATTATGCTTCATTCTGCAATGTGAAAATTGGCAGAATTCAGGAGGCTGGGTGGTAAGTAACCTCAATCAAGAAGTGCTACCAGGTAGCAAACATCCCAGACATCTGAGGGAGGCCTATTCTTCTTAAATACATTAAGGCCAAGAAACCCATAAAGGAGAAATATGCTATGAAGAAGCAAGCTCGCTTGATATAGACAGCACATGAAGATAGATGCGTCCTTTCCGCAGAGCAACGGTGCAAGGAAGACTTTAATTGGTGGACAACTCTAGCCAAGCCAACAGTTACCAAGGAGGTACAGAACCCAGTCACAACTCCAGCCACAACATCCAATCTCCAGTGCTTAAGTGATCTGCTGCTTGTAATCCAGGATTTCAGTATCCTAATAGACCTGCCAGAACAAAATGAACTTCAAACACAGTAAGAGAGGTATGCATAAAGGAAAACCATATATTGCAGCAAAGCATAGTTAAGAAGAACCTGAAGTACAAATTATAAGGAAGGAAGTGACTTTCTAAGAGACTAGGAAGAATATTGCCTGGTCTTGCTACCATGAACAACAGACTTTAGACAAAGATGGATCTCTACCTAAATATGACATAATGTTGTCTGACACAAGGACTGGAAACAAGTTGATTTTTTAATGCCAAATTCATTCTTACTGACATTGTTAAAATTTCCAAAATTTGATACAAAAGAAATTCACATTAAATGCTGAATAAAGCTGGCACAGAAACGAAGAAGCTGATTAAAAATTGATATCAGGGTTGCATATAGAAATCTATGTAGATAGTTCAACAATTAGCATAAAATCAACATAACAGGATGCCAACAGTAATTAGTAAAGCATTGATCCTTACAGCTAAAAGAAGTCTCTCAGTAAGAGGTAAACACAAAGCAAACTGTCATGATTTAGTTGAAGAAACTGATGCGCAATGCAAAACTAAAAGAGGATCAAAACATGGAATATTAACTTCTGAGATTACAAAAAGGTAGGGTGTGTGTGAGATTGAATTGGAACAATAAAATTTATCCAGTCTGACAACAAATTGCAATGATTATCATACAGAAAGCAGAAACAGTGGATGAAGTTTATCTTTGGTCTATGTGCTCATAAGTTAACCAGTAGACTGCAAATAGTTAAAAGCATTTCTTTCCAGGTGGAATAAGGAATAATCACCATCTAGATTTTGCTAATCTTCTTTCAATAGACTAGATGTATATAAGAAGCGGATTAAAGAAGAATAGACAAGAAACCATTTTAAAGGAGTATACTCACAGGATAGAGTATCGTCTAAGCATCTCAAAACTGGATGGATGATTTGCCTGGCAATTGAAAAGACCATCCTGACGTATGTCAACCTTGGAAATCCCCAATGTGTACCAGCAATCATAAGTTTCATTGACCTAAAACAGAAGGTAATGATGTTATGGAGAGAAATGCACAATTAAAATTGAAACGACAAAGTAAATTAATCCAATGGAGATTAGTCGAAGGTTGTAAATTTCCACGCTGAAAGCTTCAAATTCAACCTCTACCTTAAATTTATCTTTGGTTAACCATGCAGCTCCAAAAGTCGGTCTACAATTGGATGGAAGGGCTTCATTTGGAGCCTCTGCTAATGCAATTCTCCGCTGGCCTGACCGATCTACATATTCAACCTGTTGTTTGGAGAATATAAATCTACAATATATCACAGAAAGGGCCAACATTTTCTTAAAAGAGTACATGCAAGAGACATTCAAAAAGAAAAAAAGAAAAAGTCAGACATATGAACTGTACATGATCATGAAGTTGTTTCGTTTCAAAATGTTGAATTAAAAGCTAAAACTGGACAACTTTTGTCAACAGATCCTTGCACATGTAACATGTCAGTCCATATGCTTCATCCCACCAGTGACAATTATTGGACCTTAGTCTCATTCCTAACTTAATTATGATATTTAGCGCAACGCCCAGGTACATACCAACTTCCTCATTCTAATTTTTATTTTCTCTACTACCCTTATTCAATCATTTTAAATTTTCTAACTTGTTTATTTGTTGAAAGTTGGTAGGGAAAAAAAAAAGCAGTTTCAAGACATGCTTGAGCACTTCAAGTTGAAGACTGTGCATTTGTGGTTCTTCTGCCTGCAATAGGTAATATTAAGTTCACAATAATAATCATACTTGAAAGTATTTGGAAGAGCAAGATTTTCTTTAACTAGATAAAAAACTAGTCATAGTCATAGAAGTATTTTGTCCCTTTCTGCATTTTAAGGCTTAGAGGCATTTATTTAAGACACTTTGATTGAGTAATCTAAGAATTTATTTACTGACTAAATAAGAAAAGCAGATTGATTTCCAAAACAACTTTTCTTGATTTATGTTAGATGCTGTCCTTTAGCTTATAGGTACCATTTCTTTCAGTTACATCTATATCACTAACATAACCACAGATGCTTTTACTAGTTTTACTCATTGGTCAAGCTATAATGCACTTCTTATTTCCAATTATCAAAGTAGTGTAATCACAACTACTTGGTAAAACAACCATACATTGACCTTCCAACTAAATTTTGTCCAATAAAAGATAAAATGTGTAAATCATTAAATCTATGTAGTTGCGAACTTATACCTTATTCTCTCCAGAAGCAACAAAATTTCATTCTTTACAGTAGTACATAACTTTGTCCACCACTTTTAGAAAATATTTTGGCAGAAAGAAAACTTAAGTTATATGTTCTACATTTCTTGTATCAAATGCTAATTCTCTGAAACAGACCATTTGCTATCCAGAAAGTAAAAGGATTACGCCAATGGTGAAACTCATTAAGACAAAGTCTTTAATCAAACTATCATGGGCTCCACTTAAGAGGTTAACTCAGAGATCCACATATTAAGAAGCCAAAATCAGATAGGAAACTTAATCACAATTTTCCATACCTCAAAAACAGATGCCCAATAATAATCATAACGACATCGGAACTTCTTCCTCTCATAAGGATAAAACACATGCTTGGCTCTATAATTTAGTAATCCTAGCTCACAGACTTTGGATGATCTCAGATCCACACCTGCAAAAGAAATGAAGCAACATGTGCCCCTCATTAGCATGCACAGATACCTGAAAGTATCTTCGAGAAATGTCAAATGTATGAGACGCAAGGATGACAAGAGGATCTAACGGACATCCCCTTTGGCACATTCACCAAAATTCTTGCATTTTTTTTTTTATCAAAAAGAGATTAATTTATGAGATTCTTCAAGCGATCACTATAAAAGGTTTCTTCAATTTGGTGCTCCTTATTTTTTTCGTAGAGGATGTGCCTTTCCATCACCAGTACTTGATAGCTCAAGGAATCTACTCCTCGAGCAAAACTTATACAAGCAAAAAAGACCACATTTTATATCAATTTTGCATTTGTCTGATCAATCAAATGAAAAGGTTTCAAGACACCTTGAGGAAGGGGACAAAAAATGGCAGATTTCTTTGCGAAATTGGGCAATGAGACTATTCTTGTCTATATAAATGAGGCAGCAAGGGAAGTTAGTCGATGTTAGAACAGGATTTTAGAGCATTAACGCTTCACAGAGTGGAGCCCCCAACAAAATATTTAACGACAAACAGATATATTCAACATTAACCATTCGTTCCCTTTCGCGCAGCTCACTTTGTTTCTCAATGCGTTACTAATGCTCTTGCGAATGCCATGATAATTATCTAAAAAAGTTATCTGATGGCAGCAAGAAATGATCAGACCGATAGATTAGTATACCAATTTGATTATTTCCACTTTTTTTTCTGCATTGTATCATTTTTCATCAGTTGAAAAAGGCCATTGATACCAAATTATAAAAGGTGACGAAACGTTATACCTGACAGCTAGAATGACTTAACAAACATAAATAGTTGACAACAGCAGCACACGGACTCCTCAAAATAATTATCGAGAACAAAAAATGCAGCTGAAAAAGGACAATGAGGGAATTATATACTAAACTGAGTAAGCAGACAATACGCAAAATTCAAAATTTTCAGTCATAAAGCCAGTTCAACAAATTGAATGCAAAACAATTTTCATGCAAAACTGAGCAAGCGATTCAAATTTTCTGTGCCATTTTCAGCATTCAAAACTTCAAAACACCATCTTCCCTTTCCAGTTACAAGAAACATAAGCCACCAAATTCCTAAACACTGACAACATATGCTTGCCTGAAACTATGCTCAATACTGGCATTATTGATTCGCAACATCTTATAAGGAAATCTAGAGACCCTAAGGTTTGAAAAGCAGGAATCTCACATTCTATCAGCACCAACCAAAACTTCTGATTACTTCTTGCATACTGGCATCCATTCTATTTTTTAGTTAATCAAACTTGCATATTTTCCACTGCCTTGCATAAATTCTCCCCCATAAATAATCTAAAGCATGCCTTAAAAATTTTATTTAAAAAAATTGTGTTTACAGCTACGACTTGATCATACACTCACACTCCAACTTTTCATCAATCTTCCACCAATTTGCACCAAAACATCAACCCCATCAAACATTTTCTCAGCTGGGGCATAAGAAATTTCATAGATAACCCTTAGTGTATGGTAAAAAACAATTTTCTCAAATTTTCATATATTATTCAATCTCATCAACCAACCAGCAAACAGTACCAAAACGTCCATTCCTTAGAAGGATTCTTGAAAAGTAAGCCAAATCCTCATATCAAACAAAAATTCAGCAACCAAAAATAAAACAAAATGAAGTAGAATTCCGCAACCAAAATAAGAATAGCTGTAAGTACACAGAAAATGAATGAAAAGGGGTAACGAAAGTACTTACTACTGGACAGGATCTTGCAGTGAGAAGGAACAGAAATGGGGTTCCAAATTGACAGGTTGCCCAGAACAACAGCTACAAAAACCACAAAAAATGATACAGAAAAAGTTGCCCAAGTGGTGAAAAGGATTTTGAAAAGAGCACCAAAAAATATATACAAAGAACTCTTTTTTCTCTTCTCCACCTCCACTTCCACCTCCACCTCCACCTCCACCTCCACCTCCTCCTCCTCAGTCTCCTCTAGCTCTTCCTTGATGTCTGGGGAGTCCATAGGGATAAAGGGGCGGTGGAAATGCAGTCAATTAGTGGTGGGATTGAGGATTTTCAAGAGTTTCCGATCTCCACCGGAAATATCTCCGGTGATCGGAGTTTATAAATCGGAGTGTTGGGTGGGAATTTACTTTATGAAAATTTTATTATTATTATTATTTCTTTTTTATGGGGTTTCAGGCAGGTCTCGGTCAGCAAAGGCAAGAAGAGGCGGTCAAGAAGAGCTCAAAATATAAAGAAATAATTCTTGAGAAAAAGGAAAATGAGAAAATATCTAATGGAGAAGTCAAAGGTTTGAGACTTTGAGGTACGTTTGTTTGTCTGAAATTTGGGGGAATTAAAAATCATTTCCTATTATTTTACTGCATTTTTCATGTAAATATATGTACGTAGAAGAAAACTATTTTAGCAGGTAAATTGTTAAAATAGTTTATTCTAATACTTACATATTTTTAGTCATTTTATCGATCTGATTTTGTTACTCAAAATTCTAAAATGCTAATGAAATCGTAATTTACATAGAGTTTGATTACATAATTTTCTAATATTTTTAGTTATTTATTAGTAAGAAAATAAAAGTCAATGTAATACTACCACTACTACTACTCATACTAAATATAATTTTGTGTATCAATTATTTAATTTTAGGTTCTCTTAAATGCAAGCACCATATTGGACAAAACAAACTAGAAGTAAGGAAAAAAGGATGAACCAAATTGAAGATTATCTTTTTTTTTTTTTTGGGCGTGATTTAACAGGAAACTGAAGATTAGAAAGAAGAAAAGTAGAAAATCTTGGGTGGCAACGAAACAAATGGTCAAGGGTTGACTGACGCCGTCTGGGAGAACGATCCACTTGGACTGAGAGTCTGCTGAAACTCCTCTCAAAGCTTATCCGCTGTGTGTGTCTGTGTGAACCACCGAGTTTGGATACGGGGCAGGGACGGTTCATGGCCAAGATTTGGCCCCAAAAATTTGTATGATTCAGATCACTTCTTGTACTTCATTTTTTACAATGTATGTGGGGTTCACAAAAATTTGTTCTAAAGTTACACATTGTACAAACAAAGTTACGTCGTGTGAAAACAAACTTACGCGCTATGTAAAATGTACATAATTGCCACGAAACCGTTCCTGCCCCTGGTCCCACTGAGCTTAGCTCAGTGGCCACCAGGGTGGAACCTAAATCCCTCATTGGATTGTAGGTGCGGATTTAAACTTCACTTGTAACAAAAAAAATCTAAAAGAAGTGCCATAGCAGTCCCTTGGTCTAGTTGGGTTTGTATACCCACTAGCTCCTAACACAAGCCTTCTTAGCCTCCCTCTCCCCTAAATTAGGATAGAGTAGGTTATATAATGTATCGTTGCTGGCAAAACAAAAATGTGTGTGTGTGTGTGTTTTTTTTTATTTATTTATTTTTTGGCATTTTTAAGGAGAGAAAAATATTGTAAATTTAGGATTCATACGATAAAAATTCATCAATCATGATTGTTATAACTATGATTAACAAGTTAATGGTAATGAATTTTTAGTACTAAAATTTCTTATATTTTTTTCATGACTCTGTTCTATTATTTTTCTTTAGCTTTTTAATTTTTAATTTAAAATATGAGATATATGGGTAGGTGAACATTGATTCTCTTAGAAAAAAAATTAATTAATCACAAAACTCAAAAAATGGGCCAATCATACCCATTAACTTGTTCCGGCTAACCTTAATCAAAATGTAAGTTCTATTATCCTTAATCAAACTGTAATTTCTATTATGATTAATTTTGTAATTCATTCTTTAGACCTTATAAATACAAATTTACAAGTTATTAGTATGTGGTGTCATGTGATATTACAGTTAGGGGTGAGCAAATTCGGTACATACCGAATTCATAACCGAATTCAAATTCAATTTGGTAATTTGAAATTGGGTATTTGGTAATTTGGTACAAATTCGGTACGTACCGAATTTACCGAATTCTAATATGGTATGAAATAGGTAATGAGATTATAGAATTTGGTAATAATCGATTTCGCATTCAAATTTGGTAAAATGAAATAGGGTACCGCATTACTGCATTCGAATACCAAATTAATTTATAAAATTATATAATATATAGATCAATGCTATTTAGTATTAGTATATACTACTAATATATTATTATATTATATAGGTAAATGCTATTAATAATAGTAGTATATGGTATTATCATGTACTTATAATAATAATAATATATAATAATGTACAATCTATTATTTTAGTATTTGTTAA